TTATGGCTGAGTAATATTCCATTGTACCTTTAGACCACATTTGTTTATCCATTAATTGATGGACATTTGGGCTGTTTCCACCTTTTGGCTATTGTGAATGGTGCTGCTATGAACATGCATGTGCGTGTATTTATTTGAGCTCTTGTTTTCAACTCCCTTGAGTATATACCTATGAATGGAAGGGCTGGATCATACCGTAACTCTATGCTTAACTTTTTGAGGACCCACCAACCTGTTTTGCACAGCAGCTGAACCATTTTACATACTTTCCAGTAATTTATGAGGATTTCATTTTCTCCATATCCTTGCCAACATTTGTTATTTTCCTTTTCCCCTCTTTTTCATACGGCCATGCTTACAGGGTGTGAGTGGTATCTCACTGTGATTTTGATTTGCATTTCCCTAATGATTAATGATGTTGAGCATCGTTTCACATGCTTAGTGGCCATCAGTATATCTCCTCTGCCCATCTTTGAGTTGGGCTGTTTTTTGTTGTTGCTGAGTTTTAGGAGTCCTTTATATATTCTGTGTATTAATCTCTTATCAGATATATGATTTGCAAATATTTTCTCCCATTCTGTTCCATCTTCACTCTTGACAGTGTCCTTTGATATACAGAAGTTTCTAATTTTGATAAGTCCAATTTATCTATATTTTCTTTTGTTGTTGTGCTTTCGGTGTCACAGCCAAGAAATCTTGCCAAATTCAATACCATGAAGCTTCCCCCATGTTTTCTTCTAAGAGTTTCACAGTTTTAGCTCTTGCATTTATGTCTTTGATCCATTTTGAGTTGGTTTTTCTAAACAGTGTAAAACAAGGGTCCAACTTCATTCTTTTCAGTATGGAGATCCAGTTTTCCCAACACCATTTGTGGAAAGACTGTCCTTTCTCCATTGGACAGTCCTGGCACTCTTGTTGAAAATCATTTGACATATATGCGAGGGATATTTTTTTACTCTATTCTATTCCATTGATATATATGTCTGTCTTTATGGCAGTCCCACACTGTTTTGATTACTATAGTTTTGTAGTAAGTTTTGAAATCAGGAAATATGAGTCCTCCAATTTAGTTCTTATTTTCGAGATTGTTTTGGCTATTTGGAGTCCCTTGAGATTCCATTCTGATGGGGATGCACTGAACCTGTAGATTGCTTTGAGTAGTATTCACGTCTAACAGTAGCAAGTCTTCCAATCCATGAACACAAGATGCCTCTCAATTTATTTTTCTTTAGATTCTTTCACCAATGATTTGTAGTTTTCAGTGTACTTCATTCATCTTTAAAATGAAGCTCAAAGCCACTTTGTCCAGTCAGTACCACTTGCTTACTGGAGGTCACAGTCTCCTCCCTCCCCCACCGTCTGCCTTGGGTTTACATAAATTGTAATGAGATATGCTTTTTCCCATTTGACACTAAGTTTTCAAGATTTACCCATATTGATACATACAGTTCTAGTTCATTTGTTTAAACTGCTATGTAGTATTCGTTCCTAGGGCTGCCATAAAACATTACACTACAAACTGGGTGGCTTAAACATTCATTCCCTCATAGTTCAGGAGGCTAGCAGTCCAAAGTCAAGGTGTTGGTAAGGTTGGTTCTTTCTGGAGGCTCTGTGGGAGAATCCGTTCCAACCTCTCTCCAGCTTCTGGTGGTTGCCAGTAATCTCTGTGTTCCTTGGCTCGTACCTGGATCACTCCAATCTCTCCTGTGTGTTTCTGTGTATCTTCACCTTTTATAAGGACAGCAGTTACTGGATTCAGGGCCTGTCTTAATCCAGTACGACCTCATATTAACTAAGACCCGATTCCTGAATAAGATCATATCCTGAAGTTCTGGGTAGACATGAATAGTGCCCTTTTTGGGAGGGCACTATTCACTATACATTAAATTACTATAATGGGTAATTCATTTATCTATTCATTCCCCTTGTTGATGGACATTTAGGTTGTTTCCAAGTTTTCACTATTAGAATGCTGCAATGAATATCTTTTTTTTCTTTCATAATTGAGATTTTATTGGTTGCTTTGAGGATCAGTACACAGACATTTCAATTTGTACACAATTCTCAACATACGTACCAAAAATCTAAAAAATCATGTAGTTGTGATTCTTTTCTGAACAGTTATTCCAGTGACTTTCCAGCTTAAAATTTGGAGGCAAATTTTCCTTCACAGGATATCAAGTACCAATATCTTCAAATATTGATATGCTGTTACATCGTAAGTGCCACTAATTCGCAATTTAATATCATATACACTACATACTCAAATTGTCAATCGTTCACAGCGCATTAACAGTTACTAGAAGAACTGGACTACCACGACCAAAGATGTTAACAGAGTGCACAAAATTCTGCCCAGGAGAGCCAAGATCAAGGGGTGAGTGGTTTGCTTTAGGAAACAATTCTACCAAAAACAACGTGGGAAGAGTAGTAATTTAAAGTGTTTAAGACATTAAATGCACAACTGACTATGCTTTGTATTATAGGATATAAAAGCTACCCCACCATCTGTGGAATGTTAAGCTCACACCCAAGACAATCAAAGCCTCCCATATTCAATATCCCACTATTTTCTGGTTGTACCAAAAAATAAACAACCAGCAAGTGATATCACCTCTTAAAAAAAAGCATTTACACTTAAAAAATGGGATGAGGTGGGATTCCCTCCTTTTTAAAAATGTTTCTAGAACTACTAAAAAACTTGCATTTACAAAATAGTTGACAAAAATATTCCTCTGGATTGTACAAGAAGGGAGACAGGGACCACTGATAGGACCAGGTGCGTGGTATTAATCAGACTTGGCTTCTTTCTCTCCTGCTTCATCAGAGGCTGGGCGCTCCTGGTTTTTAGTTTCTCCATTTTCTGCAGGTAAGTCTTCTTTAGTCTCTTGGTTGGCCACTTCAGCCTGTTTTCCCTTTGCTCCCCTTTTCCCTTTTATCTGCACTTTTTTGTCTGAAGATTTATCCTTTCCTGCCGCCTTTTTTGGCTTCGTTTCCACTTTTGCAGGAGTCGGTGTAGCTGACAACCTCACCCATCTCCTCTTGGGCTCCTCCTTCGCTGCCCCCTCCTTGGAGCTGACCTTCCTCTTGGGCATCGTGGCGGCGGGGCTGGCGCCTGCCGGGTACCTATGGGCCGCGGCACGCCAAGAGCCTTCGCGAAGCTGGGCTGCCTGGCCGCTGCTGCTCCTCCCGCCAATGAATATCCTTTAAATGACTCTTTACCTACTTGTGTGTTTACTGATTCCTGACAGTAGGATGTGGGTATCTTCAAATTTGCAATTAGGTATCACTAAACTTTTCTCCAAAGTAATTGTATTAATTCACTTTCCCATCAAAAGCAATGGAGATTTGGGACTTCCCTGGTGGTCCAGTGGTAGAGAATCCACCTTCCAACGCAGGGGACACGGGTTCAATCCCCGGTCAGGGAACTAAGATCCCACATGCTGACGGGCAACTAAGCCCACGCGCCACAACTACTGAGCTCGCGCCCAACAACTAGAGAACCCATATGCCACAAACTACAGATCCCACGCGCCCTGGAGCCTGCGCACCACAACTAGAGAGAGAAAACCCGCACGCCACAACTAGAGAGAAACCCCAGCGCCAAAATGAAGAGACCGTGCGCCACAACAAAAGATCCCGAATGCCTCAATGAAGATCCAATGTGCCGCAATTAAGACCCAACGCAGCCAAGAAGCAAATAAAATAAATATTTTTTAAAAAGCAATGGAAATTTCCCATGTTTCCTCCACATAGTTGGCAACATCTAAATTTTTTTTTTTTTTTTTGCAGTACGCAGGCCTCTCACTGCTGTGGCCTCTCCCGTTGCGGAGCACAGGCTCCGGACGCGCAGGCTCAGGGGCCATGGCTCACGGGCCCAGCCGCTCCGCGGCATGTGGGATCTTCCCGGACCGGGGCACGAACCCGTGTCCCCTTTATCAGCAGGCAGACTCTCATCCACTGTGCCACCAGGGAAGCCAGGCAACATCTAAATTTTAACTTTGCCAGATGTATTAGCTTGTTATTACAAAACAAACAACTGAAAATCTCAGTATATAAAACAACAGGCATTTATTTATCACATGAGTCTGTGGGACACTCAGAGATGGCTGATCTAGGCTGGGCTAGCCCCGGCGGATTGCCTATATTACATGTTTCCAAGTTGGTATTACTATCATACTCATTTAACAGAGCAGAAACTTTTAAAGCAAACCTCAGGTATTAGAAAATGACTTTTTAAAACTCAATATCTAACATTTTTAGGAAATTTTCGTATCTACGTTCATATGTAACAGTGATCTCTTCCTTTTCATAATACATATTTAATTTTGAAATTAAGATTTACATTAGCCTCATAAAAGAACTTGGGGAGATTTTCCTCTACAAATATTAGAATACCTATATAAGACAGAGGTTATCTGGTCCTTGAAGGTGTGGTATTTGTGCATTTTTTTGCCATGTAAATTTAGGTTATGTTGTTAGATGCATAAAGATTATAAGGGTCAGAGTTCTGAATTTTTCTTTCTCTTTACTTGCCATCTTTCAGTGACACTGTGTTTTAGATGTTTCTCTAATAACACGTGGCCACATTTTGTATTAGTTTTTCAATTTGAGAATACTACTTTCATGTATTGTGATTACTGAAATATTTGGATTTATTCTTTATCTTATGCTTTTGTATCTTCTTTTATGTATCTTTTATTCTCTCTTTTCCTATATTCTATTTTTCTTACTGTGTTCTTCTCCACCTATTGGTTTGAAAATTGTACATACTATAGTTTTACCCCTATATTTAAAAAATAATCATTGACAAAGTCTAATTAGTATCTCTATCCTCCTCGCACTCAATACAAGGACGCTAAGGATGCTAAAATGTTTGATTTCCTTCTCCCATCTTCTAAGTTTTGCTGTCATACTGTTTTTAACCCCCTCCAAATTAGTCATCATCATTACAATAATTTCTTTTACAGTCAGTGCTTAAGATTTATCAACATGTTTACTTTTTTCTGAGTTAGAACTTTTTCTTGCTGCCCTCTCCTTCCTTCTGTATTCAATTTTCTTCTTGCTGAGGTATACCCCTTATTTGCCTTCAAAGTGAGGGTCTGTCAATGGCAAATTGATAAGTGTTAATTTTCCTGAAAATATCTTTATTTTATTCTCAACTAATACTTTAACAAGGTATAAAATGCTACACTGACAATTATTTTCTCTAAGCAATTTGAAGATATTTTTCTATCTTTTTCTGATACCTTTTGTTTCAGATGGGAAGGTAACTGTTAGTATAACTGGTGTTCTTTAATTTTTGCTCTACAATTGGTTTAAAATTTTCTATTTGCTTTAATGCTGAACAGTTTCTCTATGGTTTGTTTAAATGTGGATTGTTTTTATTTATCCTGTTCAGGATACTGTGCATTTCTTAAATATGAGGACTTGTCTTTCTCGCCAATTCTGGAAAATCTCAACCATTATTTTATGGCAACATTGCATCTCCCATTCGCTTCTTCTAAACTGTCATTAGATAGATATAGGCTGTACTTTCTCATTCTATCCCCCATGTCTCCTAAGCATTCTCATATTTTCCTTCCTTATCTCTTGGTTCTGTATTCTGGGTGATTTGACCAGATCATCTTCCAATTCACTAATTCTCATTTCAGTAGTTTAATCCAACCATTAAAGAAAAAAAAAATCAATGAACATTTCATTTATAGTTCTTTTTTTTTTTTCTCTTATCCTGTCATGTTCTTTCATTAAGGTTTTATTCCTTCTTTTCTCTCTTTAATTGTTTATTTTAAAATGATTATTTTTATGGCATCTTTCAGATTAGGTTTCTTATCTCCTGTTCTTAGAAGGACAATTTTCCTCTTTGTTGCATCTCTTGACTATCCTCACAGTTTATATTTATATTGTGAGCACATCTTCACTGAGGTTTTTGATTTTTTAAAAAAATACTTCCTTAACAGGAGCTCCCAAAGCCCTAAGTTTTGTGGTAGAGAACAGTTTTTGCATTGGCTTCTGTCAGGGTCCTAAGGGTTTTAATAGCTCTGGACCACTGAATTTTTCTCATTCTTTCACAAAACAGTAGCCCTTTGAGACTAGGCTTTATGCAGGGGGCCCAATTCCAGCTGCCTGTGGACCCAAAGGCACAATTTTTGCTTCAAGTAAGTATTAAAACCCCAGGCACCAAGGCTTATATTCTGTGGTGTCATTTCCTGCTTTTGACTATGGTTTTGAGCTGTTGCTGGCCTTAAAACAAAACTGGATTTCCCTTTTATTCCTTTAATCAAGGCTATGATTATTTTTTTTGTTCGTAACACTTAATCTTATATTGGAAGGGCAGGGCTCATTCATACCAGCTCCATCTTTTATGCTGCTAGAAATCTGCCAAGGGAGCCTTACTGAGGGCTAATCTATATTTACTCTTAAGTTAATAACCTAATATTCACTTTATCCATGTCTATATAACATGTGTAGATACCACAGTTAGTCTATGATTTCTGAGTGCTATGAGGGAATCTAGAATTCACTTGTAAGATATAACAACTAGAAAATAATTTGAAGTAGAGCAGCCAATTACAGAAGCAAAGAAAAACAAAGGTCTAAGGGAAAAACAATACGAAATAGCATGTATAAGCACAAAAGCTCATGTTCTCACAACCTAGATTTCATAAATGCTTTTTATGAAATCTGCCACGTGTGTTTTACCTCTCTGAAACATTCCACTCTCTCACTTCCGATTTTAATCCACCGTAATCTTCTGGCTCTCCTTACCCTGGGAATATTCCTTTGGTGGTTCTGATTTTTCCATATGTCCCCTAGATGCCTTTCCTCTACATGCTTCCCTGGATTTAGGTATCAAATGTACACCAAGGTCTCTAATAGTTACACCTCTAATTTTCACCTCTTAAATTCTACATTATTGGACTTCTCGGGTGATCCAGTGGTAAAGAATCCGCCTTACAATGCAGGGGACTTGGGTTCAATCCCTGGTCGGGAAACTAAGATCCCACGTGCTGCGGGGCAACTAAGCCCGCATGCGACAACTACTGAGCTTGCGCGCCTCAACGAGAGAGCCCGCGTGCCGCAAACTTCAGAGCCCACGCACTCTGGAGCCTGCGTGCCACAAACAGAGAGAGAAAACTCGCACGCCACAACTAGAGACCCGCGAACCACAACTAGAGAGGAGCTTGAGCGCCACAACGAAGAGACCACGCGCCACAAAGAGGCCGCGCGCAGCAACGAAAAGGCCACGTGCCGCAACTAAGACCCAATGCAGCCAAAAAAGAAACCAACAATCTACATTATCGCTGAATGTTTCCTTTCACTGGCATCATAAACTTGGCATGTCTCAAACTGATTATATATCTTCCTTTCTCCCAAACTGTCATGTCCTAACTGTGCTCTTTGTTATCTCTGTTAATGGCATCTGCCTCTTCCAACCACCCACTAGGCATTTTTAGTCTCCCAGCACCACCCTTGCTGTATAGCCAATCAATCAGTTGATAAATCTTGAAGATTCAGGAAGATTCACACAGTCTCTCCTCCAGTCTCTACTTTCCCTGCTAGTTACCTAAGTCAGGGCTTCATTATCTCTTACTTAGCCTATGGCAATAACTTTCCAGTTAGTCCTTCTCCTCTCTTTGACCTTTTGCATAATTATAGTCAAACATTTCTATGACACAGACTTTAAAATATCACTGCACTACTTACAAAATATGACTTAAACATCTTAATCTCACATTCAAGAACTATGACTTGGCTGCAACCCACTTTTATAAACTTATTTCCCTTTACCATTTCACGCATCCTTTGCAGTTAAACTACATTACTCACTGTGCCTGGTAATATGTTCTGAAGAGTCTCCTCGCAAGAGTGCTTTATATCGCGCAAGTTCCTGTCTGTGGAATGTTTCTCCCTACCCCACTTCCAAATCCTTCGTAATGCCTTTGTTTTTGTCCTAGGTGGAAGTAATCTTGCCATCTGCTGAACTGTAAAAGTTCTTTAACCTTCTCACAAAGCTGTTACAGTAAATCTCAAAATATGCTTATTTAGGTCTCTGTCTTACCTTTTCAACTGGATAATATAGTGGTAGTGGCTAACAGCATGGATTCTCAAGCTGGTGAAGTAGGTTTGAATCATGGTTTTGTCACTTATTAGCTAACTAATTTGGAAAAAGTTATTTTACCTCTCTGTACCTCAGTTTTCTCCTGTGTAAAATGAAGAAAATAGTGTAGACCACATGGTGTTGCTGTGAGGACTGAGTTATATATAAAGTTCATAGAACAGTATCAGACACATGGTAGCCACTTAATAAATGCTATCTAATATTAAGGACAAAATTGGGCACGTCTTATTTATCATTGTATCACCCATTCACATTATTTCCCACATAGCAGGCAGTCAGCAAGTTTTTTTTTTTAATTGGAAAAAATTATAACCAATAGAATACTAGGTAGTTCAAGGCACTACACACTCAAATATAAGATTAAGTGGTACAGAAATAGTGCTATAAGAACTCAGATAAGGGAAGTAAGATGAGTAAGAAAATACTCTAGGAAAGAGTGACTCCCCAGTGAAATTGTATTTTAAAAGTTCTAATCAGAGAGAAGCAAACAGGATGAACTGATAGGATAATAGTTAAGAAACTGTTAGCAGTTATGAGGCCATGAGATACTGGACTAGGATGGTTAGCACTGAGGGATTTCAAAGGGAGGGATAGAAACAGAGAGAGAAAACAAAGCCAGAATAAACTGGGTTTATAAAAACAGGAAGAAGTAAAAACAAACAAAAAAACCAAAAAGCTCAGTTGCATTTCTATACACTAATAATGAACAATCTGAAAAGGAAATTACGAAACAATTCCTTTTATAATAGCATCAAAAAGGATAAAATACTTAGGAATTAACCAAAGAGGTGAAAGACATGTACAATAAAAAGCTACAAAACATTGTTGAAAGAAATTAAAGACATAAATAAATAGAAAGACATCCCATGTTCATGGACTAAAAGACAATATCGTTAGATATGAGTTTTACCCAAAGCAATCTACAGATTCAAAAAAATCTCCACCAAGGGCTTTCCTGGTGGCTCAGTGGTTAAGAATCTACCTCCCGGGCTTCCCTGGTGGCGCAGTGGTTGAGAGTCCGCCTGCCGATGCAGGGGACACGGGTTCGTGCCCCGGTCCGGGAGGATCCCACATGCCGCGGAGTGGCTGGGCCCGTGAGCCATGGCCGCTGGGCCTGTGCGTCCGGAGCCTGTGCTCCGCAACGGGAGAGGCCACAACAGTGAGAGGCCCGCGTGCCGCAAAAAAAAAAAAAAAAAAAAAAGAATCCACCTCCCAATGCAGGAGACACGGGTTCAAGCCCTGGTCCGGGAAGATCCCACATGCCATGGAGCAACTAAGCCCGTGCACCACAACTACTGAGCCTGCGCTCTGGAGCCCACAAGCCACAACTACTGAGCCCGCATGCCACAACTACTGAAGCCCATGTGCCTAGAGCCCGTGCTCTGCAACAGGACAAGAAACCACAATGAGAAGCCCGCGCACCGCAATGAAAAGTAGCCCTCGCTGGCCGCAACTAGAGAGAGCCTGCGCGCAGCAACGAAGACCCAACACAGCCAAAAATAAAAATAAATAAAAAATAAATTAATTTAGAAAGAAAGAAAGAAAGAAATATTCAAAATAGGTAAATCCACAGAGACAAAATGAAGATTACTGGTTGCTACAGGCTGGTGGGGACAGGGGTAGGGAATAGGGAGCAACTGCCTAATGGGTACAGAGTTTCCTTTTGGGGTGATGAAGTGTTTTGGTGCTAAACAGAGGTGGTTGTACAACAATGTGAATGTAAATGCTACTGAAGAGTTCACTTTTAAAAGGTTAATTTTATGTTATATGAAATTCTCCTCAATTAAAAAAAATTGTTTAAAAAACCCACATTGGTATACCACCCACTAGAAGAGCTAAAATGAAAAAAAGACATAAATACCAACTGTGGGCAGGGATATGGAACAACAGGAACTCTCATAAATTGGTGTGTATGCATACATTGGTTACAATTACTTCGGAAAACTGGCAGTAATCTACTAGAGCTGAATCATATGCACA